TTGCCACAAAACAAATCCCATTTGACAAAGTCAGATCCCTCCTAAGCCACAATTATATAGATTGACTTGGTAACCTAAGTTAATGGCGATCTGACCCCCAGTTTGATATATTTTGTCGTGTTTTTTTTTTTTAAAGTAATTTGTTCTGTCTCTCTTCTTTTTTAATTTTTATTTCCTTGTGGGTGGATGACAAAAGGGCTGAGGGATGTTGTGGAGGGAGAGAACACAAATTCGATTTGGCAAATCCCATCCCTAGATAAGATAACAATACGAATGCTATTATGGTGGGCTTTAGCCAACCAATCTCCCTGTTAGTTTTGCAGGTTGCCCAGAATGTGGCTCCCACAGCAGTACCTAAGGGCAAAGGCTGTTTCCAAGACTGCGTTTTTTTCTCAGAAATATTAGTTTGTCACTAGTCACTAGTCAGAACTCATGACACTTGCTTTACTTAGGGCGTGAGGACACTCATCGGCACGCCTTTTCTATAGTCTTCTTTTCAACTTTTGAGTTGATCCCTGCTTCCAACATGACAAAGTTACCAGTGGGGCATCCTTTCTTCCTGCGTATAGGTCAGAAAACCGTGTGCGCTTGAGTTCTGAGCCCAGATGAGAGGTAAAGTGGGCCTTCATTACCTATGTTCAATGTACGCCAGAGGTGTGTGATCCCAGTGGAGGCAGCAGTTTTAAATCGTGCCCAGGACTTGCAGCCAAGTTCACCTCTGTGAAATAGCTCAAGAGTGAACAGCTACAAGAACACGGTTGAGTGCACTCAATACGAGGGAGACATAGTCTCATGGAGGTCAAGAATTTTACAGCTTGTATTTCATCTTGGGTGACATACCAGGACGTTTCCTGATAAATGGATAGAAGGCTGAATGGGGTAGAGTAGAAGGAATTCATGAAATACTGTGATAGGTGAATGAACGAATGAAGGCAGGGATGAAGAAATGGAGTATGTTAAGAAAAAACATCACCAAGAACTTGGAAATCAAAAAAGAGTATGCTATGTCTTTTCAATATCATCCTGGGCAGTTTTCAACAGGACCACTCAATGATTCTTTAATTCTCTAGAATATGCCTGTTATTTGGTTTTGTTATTCACTGATTGATTATTAGATCTTAGATACTGAGAAGTTACATGTTAACTTATAAGTATTTTTCCAGTAGAGAAGTACAACCCCCCAATTTTATTGTACTGTAAGATAGTAGCTAGTTTTGTGTCTACCTAAACATATTTATTCTAATATTCTTTTTTTTCCCCACTGTGTGCCATGGCATTTTTTTTAATCTATGAAACCAAGATAATAACACCTGTGTAGAGGGTAGTAGTGATGCACCTTAAAGGCCTAGAACAGTGATGGCTCTTGGTAAGTAGTAAGTAGATTGCTGATATGAGATTTAGTTGTATGATGGTAGACACCCAACCCTACCACTTAGGGAGGAGCCAAACCTGATCATGACAGTGCTGAGTAGCAATGATTTCCATCTGCCAGGGAACTTGCTGTTTAAAACACTACATGGAGAATTCAAATGAAAACCAAGATGTTCTTTGAAATCTCCATGTATATCTGTATATCTGTATAACTGTTTCACACCGTGCATAACAGTTTGCACTTTGGGGTATACTGAATATCTTTCCTATTTTAAAATAAAAGGGAAGTTTTAAAGGAAGAAATATAGAAAGAGGTGTTCATTAGACAGAGATATGTAATTACTTCTAGGCTGTTTTGGTGGACAGACAGCATATAAGTCTATTTGTAGCAGGTGAAAAATAAATCACTGCTTTATACTAATATTTCCAATCAAAATAAAAAATTACAGTTTTCTCAACTTTAAAAATTTTATATTTAGAAAACTCATATGAAAAATATCTGTGCTTAATATGAATATAGTATGTTTTATTATAACATACACTATATTTATATATTCTGTATAAGTATTATGTATGTGTGCATATATATACTATATACACATATACTATATATGTATATATACCCTAATATATGGATATATATATTTATATATATCCAACCCTGTATTTATCACCTTTTCTCTAATATGTGACTTTGTGTATATATACATAACCATATGTATATATTTGACTTTCTATCTATCCAACTATATATATGTATATTTACACATACATATTATTTATATTACATATATAAAAGTAATAATATCAATATTATCACTAACAAATGTTAGCTATTAATGATATGCTAATTTAAATTAATGATGTAAACTATGAATAGGATTTGTGACTATTTTTACCAACTATGTGCCAGGGTTCTAACAGAGTGCCTAGCACATATTAGGTGCTCAATAAATATTAATAGAGTGATTTTTGATTTATGAATTCACTCAACCTAGTAGTTGCAAGTCTTGCAATTTAGAATCTCCTGGAAAGCTTGTATTTACTTATTTTATCAATATCCACCCTTGGATCCCACTCCAGACAATTAATTCAGAGTATCTGGACTACGAGCTCATGCATTGCTACTTCTAAAGCTATCTAGGTGATTCAAATGCACAGTTCTTGGATGGGAACCAGTGATCCACTCTCTCCTTGAGGCTGTGTTGACTTCCCCCTGAGGGCAGTGGTTGGACCCAGTGAGTGAACCGGAGGCTGCTAGGCCTGGGAGTTTGTTGGAGGACAAGGCCAGTGCATTTCAACATTCTGAGACTGTCGCCCCTGCATGACCTTCCTGATTTAGACTCTAGCTGGAAGAAGAAAGAGAGGTCAATGTCCTCTCTGAACACGCCGGTGCTATCCTTGGACTCCGGCACCCAGATTTCCCTGTGAGCAGAATAATTACAATAAATCGGAGCAGAGACATCTGCTCTGTCAATATTGTCCACCAGGGGATGAGCCAGCCTGTGACCAGACTCACAGGTTCCCAGGAAACTGCAGAGGTGCTACTAGGCAGTAATGACTTTCTGCCACTTCACAGTTGGGTTAAACTGGGGAGAACTCTGGCTCCAGATGCCCTGTTGGCATACAAATTAAAATCTTCCAACTCTGGTTTCTTCCTGAAATTGCCAAGTGAACCTCCCTGCTCGGGTCAGATTCTCTACCCTGCATCGAGAAGGAACTTTTTAATATGCAAGGCTTGCCACAGTCTGAGCATCATGTGTCAAAGCAGGCATTACTGGTCCACTTTACAGATAAAGAACTGAAGTCAAGAGCAGATAGGCAATTTTCAGACACTCACAGGGCTTGCAAGTAAATGCTGTGGGCAGCACTTGAACCCTGGCCAATTAGTTTCCAAGTCTCTTTCTAACATAGCCCTCTTTAACCTGTCTTAGTGAATCAGTTTGCTCATGTGGTGGTGAGGAGCAAAACTTTGGGTTCAGATGTCTTAAATTTGATCAAAGCATTTCTCCTTCCAAATTTTGTGATTTTAAGCAAGTTATACAACTTTTCTGAGACCCAGGAACCCCATCTGAAGTTAAAATGTAATAACACGCATCTTATGGTAGCTTTCCGAAGACGAAATTCCTTGATAGGTGAAATGCTTTACAAAGTTCTTGGCACAGAGTGTTCAGCAAAAAGGCAGTGTTAATACACAATTATTAATATTTTCCTGCTGGGTTTTTGATTGGTCATTCTATTTCTCTTTAGAATAGCATTCTTAAAATCTTTTCTTAACAAAGCCATAGAAATTGCTAACTTAAATTACGGATCCCATTATAACAGAATACTTGTGAAATGTAGTACGAAACAAACATCAAATACACAAACAAAAATTACACAGCACTCTCACCATTAATGAAGATTAAAAACTATAAATTAAAATGTCAACCAGTTAAATCATCCTGCACTTATAAAAATGATACCCTTGGGGCTCCTGGGTGGCTCAGTTGTTTAAGCACCTATTGGTTTTGCCTCAGATCATGATCTCATGGTTTGTGAGTTCGAGCCCTATATCAGGCTCCATGCTCACAGTGAGGAGCCTGCTTGGGATTCTCTCTCTCCCTCTCTCTCTGCCCCTCCCACACACTCTCTCTCTGTCGCCCTCTCTCATATATAAATAAATACACCTAAAAATGATATCCATAACACAATGAGCAATTAAAATCTGTTCCAGAATGTATAGATGGGCCAACACTAGAAAGCTTACTAATATGATGGGCCTCATATTATCGATGAGAAGATACAGTCAAGAATAATTAATATGAACTCTAACAGATCACTGTACCTCTTGAAGTTGCATATAAATTATTTTTCTCAACTTGAAGACGTTTATAATATTCACTAGATATGTAAATATACAAAGATAACCAGATGTTAAATAATTTTTAAAAATTAACAAATTCAAATACACATTATAAAAGTCAACATCCAAATCTGACTAAAAACAGATCTATCTAGATATCCAACATTATAATTTGTTAAAGACACGTCACATAAGAGACCAGTTAAGGGTGTCTGCTTTTACTTCCATCACACATTGTAAAGATACCCACCCAACATTTAACCACAAGTACTAGTTGGTAGGTTTGCCTTGCATTTTCTTACTTACTTTATTACTTAATTACTTTTCTGTATTGTATTTTCTTACTTTTACTTCATAGTACTATATATTTTTAAAATTAGCAACATTTTTTGTTGTTAAAATTTAAGTTCTTGAAGGAAAAATCTTAGTAGATTTCACACATTTATTGTGTACATGCTACAATAATAATGTATGTTGGTAGCCATTCATGTTAGAGACATGAAATATAAAAATAAAGCATTTTTTTAAAAACTTATTTTTACAAAGACCTCTCATGATAATCAGAGAAAAATAGTGTGAGTTGGGGAGGCAAGAACAAGCATACTTTGAATATCCATTATGCACTAGGAAACATGGCTTAATTCCATTGTAACCCCCTTTCCCTTTCTTCTTCTCAACACTGCTCTTGGACATGATCCCAGTGAATAGGAATGTCCTTTTATTCCATTTCCCCGCAGCATGCTTATTTAGCATTTGCCTTTTGAGTTTTAGTCATCTTACTCACCAACTCTTCGGTTGAGTTGAGCTGGGCTGTGAGTACCAGCGAGGTCTGAAGAACTGGAAAAAGCCATTGGAGAGAGCAGGGATGCTAATGGGTCATCACAATTGTCTATAATGATAGGAAAGAAAGAAAGCAAATTGTATTAGCAAGAGAGAGCCCATAAAGGGAAGAATCATGGCATTAACCCCATTATTAATTAACCAATGCTCTGAACAAGGCCAGTACCAATTGTTTCCATGGGCTATTTCATTCATTCCTCACAATCCTGAAAGACTGGTATAAATTCCTTTACAGTTGGAGACACTGATATTCAGAGATGTTGAATAGTTTGTCCAAGGTCACAACACTAGAAACTGGTGTGGCCAGAAATCTCACTGATTTGTCTCACTCAGGAGTCTAACAATCACCCATTCCTTTAATCATTCACTTGAGAAAAGCCTCAAGTTATGGCTATTGAGCTTATTCTAGAAGGAGGAAGACTGTTGAAGGGGGGATACGATTGTTTACCTATTTTCCCATCTTCAATCCCTAAGGGATCCTGCCATAGTTGTATCTAGACAGAATGATTTAAAATGTCTCACTCCCAGTTGTGTGAAAATGTTTGGAAAATGAACGGCTAATTGTAATAATTCATTGCGTAAAGTAAGCGAGAATAGTCCCCAATTGTGTACAATCTTGAATCTGCTATTCACTTCAATAACGGCTTCTCCAGCCTTCCCAAATGTGACAGGTATGCTTGCTTTTTTTTTCCTTTTTTTTTAATTTTATTTTTCATTTTTAAAAATTTACATCCAAATTAGTTAGCATATAAGTGCAACAATGATTTCAGGAGTAGATTCCTTAGTGCCCTTTCCCCATTTAGTCCATCCCCCTTCCCACAACCCCTCCAATAACCCTCAGTTTGTTCTCCGTATTTATGAGTTTGTCCCCCTCCCTGTTTTTATATTATTTTTGTTTCCCTTCCCTTTATGTTTTGTCTCTTAAAGTCCTCATATGAATAAAGATATATGATATTTGTCTTTTTCTGACTGACTAATTTCACTCAGCATAGTACCCTCCAGTTCCATCCACGTAGTTGCAAATGGCAAGATTTCATTCTTTTTGATTGCTGAGTAATACTCCATCGTGTGTGTGTGTGTGTGTGTGTGTGTGTGTGTGTGTGTGTGTGAGTGTATACCACATCTTCTTTATCCATTCATCCACCGAGGGCTCTTTCCATACTTTGGCTATTGTTGATAGTGCTGCTATAAACATGAGGGTGCATGTGTCCCTTCAAAACAGCACAGACAGGTATGCTTTCTAAGGCTTCTTTGATGCTGTTCAAATGTAGAACAGGGTGGGGTCATGGGCAAAGATGTGGTCTTGACAACACAGACATGTTCCTCCAAATGAACCATGTGATCTCATGCAGATAATTCTGCTCTTCACATAGCAAACTGGTCATGTAAATGTTCTGTAATAATTCATTTATTTGTTTGCACCTTACACCAAATGGTACACTCTTTGTGGGACTTTGCAAATAATCTGATACATAATAGGCCTTCAGTAAAGGTTTGTTGAAAGAAATGGATGGTGAAGGAAGGGAGGGAGGGAAGTAGGGAGGGAGGAAAGAAGGAAGGAAGGAAAGAAGGAAGGAAGCAAGGGAGGGACTAGTTCACACAACAGGACCAAATGATTTTCCAATTTTTCATTTTGTGCACAGTTGATTTTGCAGGACATTGCAAAATGACATAATGAAATGTAGACATACCTCATTCAACCATGATTTTATGTCATTCAGATTAAAGGTAAACTTGATGTATTAAGGGCTTTCAAGAAAAGTTGGTCTGATTTCTTTTTTTAATTTTTAAATGTGCATTGGATATGGGGCTGCTTCTTTATCCAGAAAATTCATACAGAGGACTATTTCATCTCACCACAGAAACATTAATGAGAAACATAAGGATTAAATTGTTGTTTGTTAAATGTGTTAAAAAATCCACTGGCTAAGTGTATTTTGAGGTTTTTTTTTTTTACCCCAACACAAATGTTTGAAAAATATTTTGAGGTATTTGACAAACACAAAAGACAGCCAAATCCTCACTAAAGAGGAACGACATAAAAATCACAGCAAGGACACCTCTGCAGTTATGGTCATTCTGCTAATAGAAAGCAGAGCTCACGGCTACTTTATTCCAGGCATAAAATGCAGGTGAGGGGAGATGCATATACACTTCCAATACATTTGTATGGAAACGCAGATCGGTTACACTATTTATGTAGTAGGAGACAATTTGAATATAATGCAAATCTCACACTTGCTTATGCCTATTTCATCATCAGGAAACACTAGGTGAATACAGAAAACTGGAATCAGTGGAACTGAAGCCCACAGAAATACACCACGCCTGTACACACACCCACGTGAAAGACCATACAATATCGGACTTCACAGCTATGCTATGAGCCACACCTGTCTGCATCTGTAGTTACGACCATCTTCCAATTTCAGATAACACTCCTCCACTACTCTCTAATTGCTCACAACCCTTCTGACACCCACTTCCACAAGCAAATTGAAGATTTTCTAAAGATAAAATACCATGTTTATTATAGCATTTACGTAGTCTTTAAACATATAACATGTATGAAGTCGTGTTACCATTTTTATTAGGTTCTTAAGATTTAAAAACAATTTTAATGTTTATTTTTTGAGAGAGAAAGAGACAGACTTGAGAGGGGGAGGAGCAGAGAGAGAGAGGGAGACACAGAATCTGAAGCAGGCTCTAGGCTCTGAGCTGTCAGCACAGAGCCCAACACAGGGCCAAACTCACAAACCATGAAATCGTGACCTGAGCTGAAGTCAGATGCTCAACCAACTAAGCCACCCAGGTGCCCCTCTTAGGATTTTTTTTTAAATATATACCAATGACATGTTTGAGCTTTGTGCCCCTAACCCTATGTTTCCCATAAGTAGAAACAGAAGTGACCTAATCATTGCAATTTAATTCAGTCCAATAAATATTTATAAAGATATACTTTATGTTTGACCTTGGATAGGCACTAGGGATTGAGTGCAGTAAAATTGAGTCTTAGACCTCAAGTATCTCAGAGACTATTGAGCAATGAAGGAAAGAAAGAGAAAGAAGAAAGAGAGAAAGAAAGAAAGAAAGAAAGAAAGAAAGAAAGAAAGAAAGAATAAAACTTAGGAGGAAGTTTAAGAGAATTTTACCCAAGGTTACACTCAACCCACTAAAATGGGGACCCGGCTATACAAACACCCAGGTAAGTGATCTGCTGTGTCTCCCCCAGGCCTTTGCAGTCTCCCCTTTCACAAGGTGCTCGCCTCAGGGAGAGTTTGCTTCCAAAGTTCACTGGCCTCGTGAAAACAGCTGCCATTTCCACCGGCCATTTCCTCTTCTGAACTGTACCTTCCTTGTATCTCACTGTGTGGGGTCAGTGTTTCCACTTTGGGAATTAGTAAACCCATCAAAAACAATCTGTGTCAAAGGATAGGTTCAGGGGAGAGCCTTCAGGAAACTTCTTGTCATGGACCCTGCTCATTGCAATAGTGGCCCTTATTTATTTATTTTTTTTAAATTTTTTAACGTTTATTTATTTTTGAGACAGAGAGAGACAGAGCATGAACGGGGGAGGGTCAGAGAGAAAGGGAGACACAGAATCCGAAACAGGCTCCAGGCTCTGAAATGTCAGCACAGGGCCCGACGCGGGGCTCGAACTCACGAACCGCGAAATCATGACCTGAGCCGAAGTCGGCCGCTTAACCGACTGAGCCACCCAGGCGCCCCAATAGTGGCCTTTAAAGAACACGACTGAACTTTTGTTCTACCCCTAATAGCGATAATAATGGGAAATTTTCAGATCAGAAAGGAATAAAGACCTCTTTTCTCCAGCCAATACATAGTCCCCTCTGTCTTCTCTATGTCACCTAAATTGATAATAGACCAAGCCTCTAATCAAATTAACCCTGGTCATTGGGAATTAAGATTTGTCCACCTAACCATTCTAAGTCCAAAAGTGTGTATTATTTGTAGACATGCATCTTATGCTTAAAGCAGAAGAGAAGGATCTAGTATAAGTGAGAACAATTTATATATGTTTTAATTCATGATTTGGGACAGTCTGGGACAGTGGAAAGCATCAGAAAAGCTAGAGCTAGGAGCTCCTCACTCTACATTGGTTCCTTCTCTTGCCTTGGTGATTCCAAGTAATATATTCAAATGCACTAAGCAGGGTCTCCGTTGTCTGCAAAATCAAGAGAGTCTTCTCTGGCAGAGAAGACTGTCTCATTTCTCAGAAATGAGAAAATCTCTTTTCTCATTCTGTTTCTCATTTTAAACAGAATGAGAAAAAATGGGGAAAAGTCACCTTTAAAGGAGAAAGCACAGAAGGAAAACAGGAAGCACTGTATGAATGGTTTGTAATACTTGCTATCATTGAGAACAACCATTTCAACAATTTTATTTCTGGGATCTTGTCTCTGTCACAATACCTGCTCAAGAATTGGTGTCACTGGTAGCTCTTTGGCCCTGGAGGTTTACGGAAGGTCAGATGAGAAGAAGAATATGAAATGGAGGGGAAGTGAAGGGGTGAGGAATCACTGGAGAGTGAGGACACATTGCATGGGGCAGTCCGCCCCCTCTGTGGATTGCCAGCCTTGCAGAGACTGGGCCAACATCACACCAAACACATGGCTGGGAAAGAAAGAAACAAAGCACCATTTGCTCCACCATTTCTGCAGGATCTAAATAAGCAAACTCGTGTTGTCATTACATTTTAGACACCACTCGCATCCCAGCCTTCTGACAGTATGTCTCCACAACGCTAAATCGAGCAGTCGGTTCCTACAAAAGCGAGCTGGATGTTTGTCTGTATTTACATGAGGAAAGTGGAGACAGTGAAGAAACTCAGGTGGGGAGAGAGACATTTGAAGTTTGGGGAAAACATACCGAGGAACCAAAGTCAGGCTTTCAACGGGACACAGAACCTGAGATGGACCATCATGATTTTACCAGAAAACCATTTTCCACACTTTAGGGATGCATTGGTGTAGTAGGATATTTTCAAATATACTCTTAAAGATACTGTGGATTGGGCTTGTCTATAAA